CAGCATATGCTGGTTTTTTCAACAGGGGCATTTCCCCACATATCCTAAAATATACTAAGAACAAACTTTAAACAACATAACATTTGTTTAGTCCTTGCAAAAAAAACTAAACTAACAGATATATTTATGTCACATGGATACAAAAAGTAATTTCATCATTAGAAAGCACCATAGGTGCTTAACAACAGACATACGAAAAACTGAAATAGGCCTACAAGTTCACCTTTTTTGTAAGCATGGTTAAATAATTCAGAACGTTTTTAGATCAATTAAATAATTTAATAGGACATTGTCACATTTAATTCACATTGATAGCAAAAAAGAAAACAGCAGTAAGACAAGATCGCCATCTTTAGAGAATTTCTGTCACTGTATGCCCTGCAGTAGTTATTTATTGATCGTTGGGAGATGCAACTTAACCAAAGGTCCCTGTCATTAAAAGACGTTTTTGTTTCAGTGAAATCCCTTCTTAGTCATAATTTTAACTAGCTTAATCTCAGAGAACAGGTGTGAATAGTTAACATTTCAGTGTCAAAACCACATGAATGCACTTTGCCCTTGTACTGCAGAACACATGCCTCAGCATTCACTCTTCACTATGAGCACTTACTTTACAATATCAAATAAAAATCTATTGTCCAGTTAAAACAAAATGTACAATACAACATCAACACAATTCTCATGAAAGTGTAAGAGACTCTTTGCTCTGAAAGTGCTTGATGTTCATAATTAAAAATGCTGTAGTGTTCAAGATGAACTGGAAAAGATTTAGCTTATTTGGTTCAGTTCTCTTATTTTTGCCCTTAAGTGTCTTTTACGAATTTTGATCGTCCACTTAATGCTGAGTTTGGCAAAGTCTGCAGCTTTAAAAAGAGCCATGAAGACGCCACATAATATGGCTATGGTGTTCCACGGGTTTGCTGTGACTATCTGTTCGAAAACATAAGGCACACTTAATTAGACTCTCTATAAAGCATTCCAGCTTAACGTTCAGACAATT